ACAAATGATAAACTTATACTCTATTATGGTTAAATTTTGCAATTAAACCGAGGATCACATGCGTGCCGAACCGTGGGGCTTGGTCCGTACGGATCACGGATCAACTACGATCCGTTTAACCACTATGTATTACAGGACTCAGGATGGTGTTTGTGGTTAATGGAGGACAGAACAAGGGGAGAGAGAGAGCAAAAAAGTGATGCAAGTGTCTAAAACTGTGAGTGAGAAAAATCTCTTTTCCTCCATGCCTGACACCATCAGGATGACAAAGGTCTTTCTGACCCATTTTATCTGGAAGCCCGTAACTAATTTTCTTTTCAAAGGTTGGCCGCAATGTTCAGGAAGCAAATAATACAGCACAAACCTGGAAAAAATGAGTGACATTTCATGTTGTGGATGAAAACATGTTAGTTTTAATCTGAACTTGTTTTGTCAAATCACTGCCTAATTTGAAGGCAACCATGGGCCAGCAAGAAGTCTTGTGGCACGACTTGTGGTTTTGTCTCCATCTTCGTCTCTCTCAGTGCATTGAATCCAGATCCATCAGTCAGGTGACTGACAAATGTGTTTCCATGGAGATGGTGTTTAGGTAAACACAGATAGCACCAGCACACCAAAGGACATCGGCAGAAAAAACAGATGTCAAGTGGGAATTTTAGTTGTGTGGTGTCGAAGTCAATGTGAATTCCCATTCATGACCCATTTTAATTCTGTAATATGATATTTTCCAAGTGAAATGGGATATTCAACAAGAAAATACAAGTAGAGTCTGACTAGATTGTTTACTTCAGTATTTGGTTAGACGATAAAAAGTGAATGCTGCACATCAAAATGAAATCATTTAAAATAAAACATAAATATAAGATTAAATAAAACAAATGTAAGAGGAAATACTACAATTTCTAAAACTATAACTGAAATAAAATAAAGCTAAATATAAATAGAAAAAAAATAAATAAAAAAGACTAAAGTACATAACAAAATGACTAAAACTTATAGAAGATTAATAAATATTAATAAATAGCATACAGTATAAACAATACTAAAATAACACAGTTTGCTAAAACAGCCATTTTGGCTATTGGTTATTGTCCAGTAGTCTGATGTCAAGTCTATTGTCCAGTCTAAGTGATGTCAGCAGGAAAAGCAATTTGTTGCAGAAGAAGATAAAGTTACGAGACAAACATATTTTTCTTTGAATTAACACACAATGATGGAACACATTCACAAGTAGACCTTGCATTTAAATTTTGATTTCATGTTCACTTTAAGATGAATGTGAAAATGAAATTTGTGTTGTAATCCACTATGATGTGTGGAATATATTGTATAAATGTAACCATCTGGTTAGTGAGGTACCATCCCTTGTAATGAGTGTTATTTACAGCAATAATTCAGTGCTGGTAATAAAATCAGTATGAATGAAAACTGAATCCCTGAAGTGTAAGGTCTGAATAATGCACCTCTGGATAAAATGTCAAGAATGTGTGTGCACAATATTTGTTAGGGGTGTAACAATATTCAAACGTGCAGAAACGTGTGCGGAACAAATCTGTCATATATGCTACATAAAATTATAATGAGAGCACGACTGTAAAAGAATATGCCATGTTTCAGCGTGTTGTTATATCTTCATGACTAGCACAGTCAAGTTCGCTTGTGCAGCCACTCACAGCCTTTTGTGGAACTGTAATTTGCAATATTTTGTTACATAACATTATAATGAGAACACTATTTTAATAACAATTTTTTTAGTTTAGTTGCCGTGTTTCTACACATTGTTGCGTGAAGTACGCATCCACAACAGGAGTTCCATATTCGGAAAAGCACACTCTTAAAAATAAAGGTGCTTCACAATGCCATAGAAGAACCTTTTTGTCTAAATGGTTCCATAAAGAACCTTTAACATCTGAAGAACCTTTCTGTTTCACAAAAGGTTCTTTGTGGCGAAAGAAGGTTCTTCAGATTATAAAAAGGTAAGAAAGAGATGGTTCTTTAAAGAACCTTTGACTGAATGGTTCTTTGTGGAACCAAAAATGGTTCTTCTATGGCATCGCTTGAAGAACCTTTTGAAGCATCTTTATTTTTAAGAGTGCACAGACACGTTAACTTGTGCATTCGGGTCATTTTGTGCAGATATACAGTAGTGTGATAAAGTGTTGGCCCCCTTCCTGATTTCTTATTTTTTTGCATGTTTGTCACACTTTAATGCTTCAGATCATCAAACAGATTTAAATATTAGTCAAAGATAACACAAGTAAACACAACATGCAGTTTTTAAATGAAGGTTTTTATTATTAAGGGAAAACAAAATCCAAAACTACATAGCCCTGTGTGAAGAAGTGTTTGCCCCCCTGTTAAAACTGTGGTTTATCTCACCTGAGTTCAATTTCTCTAGCCACACCCAGGCCTGATTACTGTCACACCTGTTCGCAATCAAGAAATCTCTTAAATAGGACCTGCCTGACAAAGTGAAGTAGACCAAAAGATCCTCAAAAGCTAGACATCATGCCGCGATCCAAAGAAATTCAGAAACAAGTGAGAAAAAAATTGCAATCTATCAGTCTGGAAAAGGTTATAAAGTGGGGCAAATACTTTTTCACACAGGGCCATGTAGTTTTGGATTTTGTTTTCCCTTAATAATACAAACCTTCATTTAAAAACTGCATGTTGTGTTCACTTGTGTTATCTTTTACTAATATTTAAATTTGTTTGATGATCTGAAACATTAAAGTGTGACAAACATGCAAAAAAATAAGAAATCAGGAAGGGGGCCAACACTTTTTCACACCACTGTAAGTTGTAATATTAAGGTTATGTATTATAAATAATGAAGTGTATCCTATATGATATAAATCTGATGAGTTAAATCCCGTTGATTAAAAACCCGCTATCAAAGTGATTAATCTTCAGAATATTATTAACTATGACTAGGACTGTCATATACATAACGTTATACTGAGAGCACAAATGTAAAAAATGTTGTGAATTCTTAGGGTTTTCAGCGTGTTGTTACAAAAAGCGCATCCACAGAAGGACACAAGTTCACTTGTGCTTGACTTTGTGCAATATAGCCTGAATTTCACTGCGGGCATTGTGCATAATTCTACACATTCCCGCAGGTTTCGTAATTATAAAGCGGGAAATTCCCGCAAATATTTATGCACAATAATTTCACAAACAGTGAGTGATTGGGATTGAATGGTACCACGTCTCTCACAAATATAGTCTCACATCCATAATATCCACATTGAGTTTGCTCTGAAAGTGAGCTGCAATACAAGACAAGCGCGTGTTACAGACAGTTGACGGAATTGTCACTTGCACGTCATTTTAAGTCATACCAATTTAATCATTCAGGCGATTTTAGCCCATAAAGTAGTCGCGCATTCTCTGAGAGACTGTCTTCAATGCACTCTCAGCCAAAGCGTGCAAAGTCGCCTCTCAAAGCTCATGACTATTTGATTAAAATCATTGCCTTGTTGTCCGGCTGTTCCATTTTATTTATCCATTGCACATGTATTTTTATATGTAGCCTAAGAAATATTGTCCAATGACTTCTTTGCATTATTTAGGCATTATTTTATTTTATTAAACCATTTTAAGGCAATAGATTTTTGGGTAACACTTTACAAAGCAACAATTTTTAAAGTCTCATTTGTTAATGCATTAATTAACTTTAACAGAGAGCAATTATTACTGTTGTTGTTGTTGGTATTATTATTATGTTAAAGTGTTCTTTAGCATTGCTGGTGCCATGCCATGAACCCTACCCCCACAGCAAACAGAACCAAACCGAACCGAACCGTGGCTCCAAAACTGTGATATGAACCAAACCGTGGCATTGGTATATCGTTACACCCCTAATATTTGCCAAATCAATTCCTACAGTCTCATGTCTCACTTAATGAGATGATTTTCAGTGTCTGGTATAACATCTGCGTCTTATTGTGAACAATTCATCAGAGCATGATATTCCGAAGAAAAAACAAATGTTTATCTTTGTCATTTTTAATCAAAATGCAATAATGTTCTCTTCATCTGAAACAACTTTCCTTTTCAGCTTACATCATCATCTAGACAAAGTAATACCAAATACCTATTTATTCATAATTTTAGGCTACTATTTTAGGTACAGTAATACAACTTTTTTTAAATCTCATCACTAGTTAACAGTGCACAATAATTTAATGTTGGTTAGTATTAATTTAATAAAAAAATCAGCAAGTAAAAATAAATAAATGGAACACTTTGGGATGCTGTAGGGTGAACTTGACCTTTAACCTCCACATCCACACCACTATCTCAGTTCTCAGCAGTTAAGAAGCTCAAATAAATCTGGCCTGATTCCTGAGGCAAAAATTTCATCATCTCCACAACTGACTGCAAACTCAGATTCAGGTCTGGCTCCACTTTCCACCAACCGATGAATTCCCGACGGATGAAAAACCTGCCCTAAATGTTTTCTCTTTGAATATTCTCCTTCACTGTGAAAAATGTTCCATTACAAAAGTAAAATGGCTTGCAAATGCCATTTTCTTTTGACTTCAGATGTGTTTATATGGGCTGATAGAAAGGATATATAATTGGATGGAGAGAGTGGAGAGCGTACCTAAATTGCTGAATTCCAAAATGGCCACCATGGCAACGCTCCCACTTTCCCTCTTTTGTTAACGCACTAACTTCTCGTTATTCATGAGATGATGTGGCGAGTGTGCATAAGAGCGAGACAGAGAGGCTGAGAAACATTCAGCACTTGACACGTCTGATGGGAAGTAATGACTGACTGCATTAACACCACAGGGCTGAGAGGGAAGGCGGCTCTTGACCTAAACGTATTCCTCTGCAGATCTGAGCGTGCATTTACACACACACACACTGTCTATCCTAAAATACAGATTAGAACACACACATATGCAATACGTGTGCTTTCTACATATGCTGTGTACATGAAAATGTGCTGTAATATATGTGTGCCTGCAAGTGTGGGTGTTTGGTACCTCGTTGATGAGAAACTGCAGTTGGAGAACTGCCGCCCCACTCTCATGCTGGCAATGACAGTCCACTCCCGGCCGTCCCAGACTGATGACATCAGAGCGTTAAGGAAAAGAGGACAGTCATTTACAATGAAACTTTAATGCTTCAAGGTTGTACTTTCAACACTTTCAATACAGCATTAAAAGCTGGATTAAACGGACAGACAGCATAGCGACCCAAGTAAAAACTGTCTGAAAGACAACGGATGAAGTTTGAAAGCTCTAAAAAACTCAAACTTAGTTTGGTGTGTGTAACAGAAAGAGAGAGAGAGAGAGCAAATCTATGCCACAAGCTAATGGACTCATAAAGTGACATTAACTCCAAAATCAGCTCCTTACACTGTTTTAAACAGATCTTCCTATAGGAATGTGATTAATGATTTATCTCAACTGTCCACACACACACACACACACACACACACACACACACACACACACACACACACACACACACAGCTATCGATCACAAGACATTTTTCTCTCCTCTTATCTAAACGTGTGTACACACAGCTGTGTCTGATCACTACATAAGACAGTAAAGACAGTAAAATACTGTAATAACAAAGGAGGAAAATGCTTTCATGACAAGGTCAAACTCAACCAGAAGTGTTTTATATAAATATCCACCTATATATTGTATATATTTTCTATTCATCAAAGAATCCTGAAATAAAAATGTAAAAAAGTTTCCACAATAATAAACTGTTCTCAACATTGAAAATAATAAGAAATGCTTCTTGAGCTCCAAATCAGCATATTTTTAATAAATAAAAGCCTATAGTAATGGCTAAAATATACATTTAAAATTAAAATTAAAAATTACAATTAACATTTAAAAAATATTTTACCATATTACTGTTTTTACTGTATTTTTCGTCAAAAAAATCCAGACTTGGTGAGCATAAGAGACTTCTTTTTTAAAAATATTTTTAAAACATACTGACCCCAAACTTAAAAAAAAAATAGAGTATATCTATTATAACCCGCAAGGCTTATTGCAGGCCTAGACCTAAACCACAGATATAAATGCACAGTTACAATCTAGGTGACAACAAACAAGCTTGCAGTCTTGCATACATCAAACAGTTAACAAGCCAAGTTATATAAAAAAAATGTGTTATGATCCTTGTTTTCACTCTGAGAGCTCCCAGGCTAAAAACCTGACAGTGTATAAAAATTTTACAATACTAACTTCCTTTAAATTGTACGAACTCTCTCCAAAACATTACTGTCCAGAGACATGTCAATGTACCCGAACATGCAAAATGATTGACAGGCAGAGAGGCACCTCCAGGGTTTTTTTTTTTTGGGTATCATGGGTGGGCTCAGATTTTTTTTTTTTTTTTTTAGGGCTGTCACAGAGGCAGGTGTGATTTCGCAGCACTATCTAATATATTTCTGTTTTATCTGTCAGGTAGCAGGGTTATTTTATGTATGTTATACAGCAGCTTTAAACAACAAGTTCCCCAGACCATTAAACACAACAGAGCAATCAAACGGTCAAACCTGCACTTTTATTTGTCTGTCTGTCCCGGCTGATGCTCACCTGATCACACAATCAAAAGTTCAAACTGTACACTGAAGGAAAAATACAGAATGTTCAAGAATAAACCCCTACAATCAATAATAAAACATCTAGTGATTTTACAATGACAGTGGTTATTGATGATGGACACACAGGAAAGGATTGCCGTTACAGCAAGTGTGTGAGTGAGTGAGTGAGTGAGTGAGTGTGTGTGTTTTGAGGGGGATCAGTAATAGGTATAATTGTTCTGCATACTTGATTGGATCTTAACTGAGCTAAGTTAAATTGTGTTGACAAACATGGGCATTCAACCCACATGTTCAGGAATCAAGATGTTCAGTAGTGTCTGGGATGGAAATCACCACTGAACACACACAGACCAGTGCACACACTTGTCCAGATTAAACCATGTGCTTTATATATGGACTGCACAAATGGCTTGCTAATAAGATGAACATCCACTTGCAGATAAACCACAGGCTCAACACAGCTACAGAGCCTCTGTAAAACCACTTTACAGATTTCCTACAATCAATAATAAAACATCTAGTGATTTTACAATGACAGTGGTTATTGATGATGGACACACAGGAAAGGATTGCCGTTACAGCAAGTGTGTGAGTGAGTGAGTGAGTGAGTGAGTGTGTGTGTTTTGAGGGGGATCAGTAATAGGTATAATTGTTCTGCATACTTGATTGGATCTTAACTGAGCTAAGTTAAATTGTGTTGACAAACATGGGCATTCAACCCACATGTTCAGGAATCAAGATGTTCAGTAGTGTCTGGGATGGAAATCACCACTGAACACACACAGACCAGTGCACACACTTGTCCAGATGAAACCATGTGCTTTATATATGGACTGCACAAATGGCTTGCTAATAAGATGAACATCCACTTGCAGATAAACCACAGGCTCAACACAGCTACAGAGCCTCTGTAAAACCACTTTACAGATTATTTTCCCCTGTACACCACTAAGTATTTTTAACCTAGTTTCTGAAGATTCTATAACGCCTTGGCTATATTTGTGTATTTGACAGATGTAGATTTCCAATGATTTGGTTGTATTTTAATGAAAACATTGCATTTAATGCAATGTATTAACATTAATGTCAATGTATCTGTCTGTTAGCTTTTTATGACGTCCATCATTTTTATCAGCTTACTGTTAGCTTACCTACTTCTAATGTACACAATTTAAAATGTATGTTAAGGCTTTAACCCTACTGTATCATATTCTATGCACACATTTCTAAGGCCTCTAAATCATCAACATGATCTTTTCTGGAAAACAATCTACTATACATGTCATCTGTTATCGTACGGATAAATTTTAGCAAGTAAAAGGTATTTTGGTATTTCATTATATATACGTATAGCATTTTATATAAGTAGTTTGCTATAATGTTATAAAGATTTCATTGATTTACATTATAAGCTAACATAATTTAATCTTACTTTTTGGCCATATAAACAGCAACTGCACCAAATTACTTATTTTGCTCAGTTTGGGCCTTTCAATAAAACTATAGGATGCTTTATCCCCCCTCTTTGGATGTGAGGTCCATATTCTCTTATATCACACTATATGAGCCATTTAAGACTGATGTATCAAATAATGCCTTTTTACAGGGTTAAAATACCAGTCTGACAAGCTAACAGCAATCAAATAAAGAAACACAATTCACATAGTACTGTCAATAAAATCCATATGACCATATACATGTAGATGATTGAGCTGCTTATTTCTGCTTATAGGGATAGTTCACCCAAAAATGAACATTTAGTCATTATTTTCTCATCATCATATTGCTCCAAACCTGTTGATTGTCAGTGATGATGACTGTCATTCTATACTGCTAAACTTTTTGTGTACTAAAGAAGAAAGTCATACAGGTTTGGAACAACATGAGGGTAAATGTTGACCGAACTTTCATTTTTGGATGATCTATTCCTTTACAGCTACAGCCAAGGCTTTACGAAGTTCAAAACGACCACTGAGAGATGTTTGGTGGTGAATAGATCATTAGATTGATGTTTCCATTGTGAAACAAGGCTGAAAAGAAAGATACATGATCGATGGAGGAAGAGGAGAAAGATGGAGTTAGGAGATTATGAATAGAAAGACTGGTGACTCAGACCCTTAAAAGACAGGGTGGAGGAGCAGAGGTGAAACCTAGAGTGTCAGTGAGACAGGAGGTGAAAGAGAGAGATGAGTCAGAGAAAGAGAGAGAGACTTCAGCAGGTTTGAAGTGGTGACTCAGATTGGGTAGGAGAGAGAGTTTGAACGGAAAAGTTTAAATCTAATGATGTCCATGTCATAAAAGCAACAAACACGTACACATGTAAGGTGAAGTTTCATGACTCATGCTGGATTTGTGCAATTTATACACTCATTATATATAGATTTTCCCTTCATTTATCAACATTAATTTCGCTGTCATATTTTCCTACATTATTTCCACTGTTCTCAGCTTCACCTGCACACATTAAAAAAATCTCAGTCTCTGCTTCATTGAAAATCCCATTTTTCAAGTTTTGTGGCTTTTAATCCATGTCTTTTAACTTTGTGATCAACTACACGCTAGCTCTGATAAATTAGCTAGCATATTGTATGCACACATATTTGACATTTTCTCTCTTTCTTTTCATAAAAAAAAAGTTTATGAAAATCATGTCTATTAAAATACCTAATATCTATGTTCATTGTCTGTAATAACGTATCCCATTCTGCCTATGATATTTTACAAACCATTACCATAAAATTATTATTATTTTTGTAATGATAATTTTACACTGAAGGCAAGCATTGTAACAATTGCAGAAAATTCAGCTGTGCAATCACAGGAATAAATAACATTTTAAAATCTATAAAAATACAAAAAATGTATTTTTAATTGTAAAACTATTTAACAATATTACTGTTTTTTTATATTACTGTGCTGAGGACCCATTCACAGTGATAAAAACACATTGTTAGATTTCCTAAAGAGCTACAGACTGCCTCCGCTGATATAAAGAGAAAATTATGTTTATGAACAATATGACAATTTACTGAGCATTCACAGCATGAGAAATGGATCAGTCAAAAGGGGTAGCATTATTGACGGAATAATTGCATGCAAGATGGATTTGCAGAGAGGGAGAGAATCTGTCTAAACCATTCTCTCATGAAAACCTCCGGGGGGGGGGGGGGGGGGTGGGGGTATGGGGGGGAGACTTGCGCTAGAAAGTAGCAAAGCACATTTCATTTGTTTTCCTTCTCTTCTGCAAACATCTCTTTCCAATGTTGCTAATTAAAAACACTGGCGTTACTGTAGCCATGCTAAATTATGGAGCAAGCTGTTTTCAGCGGGTATCCCCCAGTCAAATGTGTGAATGTCTGTGAGTATGTGAAAGAGAGATTTTATGACAGTCACTGTGAGTCTGATTGCGTCTGGTGACATTTCACTGGTGTTTAAGCTGTCAGTCAGTGCTCAAACAATCAATCAAAACACAAACAAAAACACTGCTAAATC